TATTACAGGATGATTATTTGACTCAATACAATCATTCCTGTCAAACCGTGAAATGAAGGTTGTCCTAAACAAGTTCTTCTCCAGCTCCTTTATCATGAACGCTGGTGTTCCCTAAGGCTCTATCTTGGGCCCTACACTGTTCCTGATCTTCATTAATGACCTTCCTGATGTCATCAGTTCCCAAGTTGGCATCTATGCAGACAACACTACTATTTACTCTTGCCTCAATAGTAAATCTGGTATCATTGACAAAACTAACCTGGCTTCTGATCTCGAAAAGGATCTCCAATGTGTGGTTGACTGGGGCAGGAAATGGCTTGTAAATTTTAATGCCTCCAAAACAAAACTGCTCTCCTTTACCCACCAGAGAACCCACCTCACCTCCCATCAGAATGGCTGTTGCTCAACTCCTTGAGAGCATCTCATTACGGCTGCTTGGTCTCATGCTGTCCACTGACATGAAGTGGAATAAATACATTGAATCAATAGCTACATCTACTGCAAGGAAAGTTGGTTCTCTGTGTTGTGCCAGAAAGTTTTCCTCATCTGAGTTCATCCTTCAAACCTATAAATCAACCATCCGTTCTTGCATGGAATATTGCTGTCATATATGGTCTGGTGCCCCCACTGTATGTCTCGAGGTCCTCGGCAAAATCCCAAGATGAATATGCAATGCGATAGGTCCTGATCTGGCATCTTGTCTGCAGTTGCTTTCTCACAGACATGCTGTGGCTTTCCTCTGCCTCTTCTACATGTATTTTCACAGCAAATGTTCTGACGAGCTACTTTCGCTGGTTCCCAGACTGCATGAATTTAAGCAAGCTACTAGGCTGGCATCTCGGTTGTCAAAACAGTTAAATGTGACCATCTCTTCTACTCTAAACAGCTTCTGCTCTCGCACTTTTTGTCTGTGGAACTCCCTCCCTCTTACTTGCTTCCCTGATAACTATGTGTTATGGTCCAGTTCCTTGTACCACAGTGATAGTCCAAGGTAGAACCAATAAAGAACTCAAACACAGATAAGGAATAACACAGATATATTACAAACAGGAATATATACAAAGAAGTAGAAAGTGTTAGTATGAACAATCAGGTTTAGTAGGGAGAACAATGTAGTCTCGACCAGTATCACTATTCCAATGTCTTGTAGTAATTGTTTGAATGCGACTGTTTCGGACTGCCTCTGACTTGACTCGCTCTGACTGACTGACAGACTTCTGATGGACTTCATTCCAGACTTCAGACTGAACTCCCTGCTTCCTCTTGAGGCACAGTATTTATTACGTATGGAATAGTCCATTATGTTATTATGGGTAAAGTTCCATAACACTATGATTTTCAAATATTCAAGTGTAATGTCAATTGACATCTTCTGATACCTTGATCTTTTTCCCCATCTTTTTCCTCAAACACACCTTTTTACTCTTGTTCTCAATCCTCTGTAATCCCTTGCATGCTAGTGGCATTCCCGCTTTGCTTGTGGTGAATTGCTTAAAAAAAAATATTTAATCCAACAGATATCTATATTTGAATAGATGATTTATTAAACAGTATATTTATTTATTTTTGTCTACTGGTCTGAATATTTGAGAAATCTTATTAAAGAAAAATATGCAAAATTCAAGTCTGTGCCCCCCTTGACAGGAGAAACCATCTTCAGATCCGATATGCTTATATCAATTCAGCTATGGGGCTAATCAAGAAAAGTTGAATTGTACCTTATAAATAAATACACTGTTTAATAAATAATATATACATATAATTCCAACACCTTTGTCAGAGGAGGAAATATGAATGTCTTTGTTGTTTGATATTTTTTAAGAACTTTTAAACAACATAGACATAGACATATTTCCCCCCTCTGACAAAGGCAATTAAATTATAATTGGAAAAAAACACACACACACACACACACACACACACACACACACACACACACACACACACACACGTATATATATAATTAATACAAGTAAAAGGTTTGTCACTTAGCTGATTGATGTTACCTTCTGCATCCCAACTCTAAAGTTTCATAGAGTGACCCTCTGGGAATTACTCCATCCACTCGTCAGGAGGTATCAGCAATTGACTGTTTATACTTCTTGATTTTTTTCTTTTTTATAGGTACTTTTTACTGATGCAAGTTTTTTTTCTTTTTTTTATAGTGTAGGCATGCATTCACATGTACACACCCATTTGCCTGTCTGTGTATACTTATATATATGTATGTATGGGGTGGTGTAAAGAGAGAAAGATGGACATTGAAATCAAAACTGCAGAATGACTGTTTTTTTTCTCCTAGTTTCAATCATCATATTACACACATATTACACAGACAGCAGCTGATATACAAAAGCTTTGGAAATTTGAGCAAGAAAAATATACTTAACCTAATCTCCTCTATGCAGGGTGTGCCAAATATTTGAGAGTACATATTTAGTGGGCCTTAACTGGAAGATAACCTAACATAATGTTATGCAACATGTGCCAAATTTTAACATTCTCATTCCTTTTTCAGCTATACTCATATCAAGTGCATTAACATGAAAATCTAATCTGACACAGGTTTTTTGATTTGGTTTAGTTTGTTTTATGGCATATCAACCTCAAAGGGTTATTTAATGTTGACAAAATTTTATTGTTGGTAATAGTTTTTTCAAAAATCTCTTTCTGGTAATATTTTTCCTTCAAATATGTATCACAGGTAATATTTTTCCAAAAACTGTATAAATGGTAATATTTTTTTCTCAAAAATGTATAGCTAGTAATATTTTTTTTTTCAAAAATGTATGCTGGTAATCATTTTTTTACAAAGTATTTCTGGTATTAAAACCTATTTTTACACTTTCATATTGTTTTGACCCCAGTTTTGGGGTTAACTATTTGTCCATAGATGGGACCCTAACAGGTGCTACCACCCCAGGTCAGGGTGGACCTGGGAACATCAGCAATTAAGAGTTTGTTCCACACACCTCAAAACCTCAGAGGCTTTGCTATTGGATGTAGTTTATCGTCTTACCCAGGACATGGATGTAATTTATCATTATACCCAGGATGGCCTGACACAGGAAATGAAAAGGCACACCATGCTTGTAACACTAGCTGCCAACCCCCACAACTAATCGTTTTCTTTTGATTATGAGAAAAAACAGGTCTTCCCAGATACCGATGATGATAGAAAAGTTCATGCTATTTTTTATGTTCCTTTTGGTCATGAGCGGCAATAATCATGTCATGCTTTTCCAATCAAAGTTTCAGGATCAACAGTAATGGTAATATTAGTTGTTTCCTTATAAGAAAACATTTAGCATTCATTGTAGAATGACAAGGAGAGCAATTTTTTTCAAAATTTATAATTACAGTTTAACATCTTTACTGTCATTCTCAATAGAAAAAACTGTATAAATCCAATTTCATATGTTTTGGGCTTTATTAAAATTACCATGGAAGTATAAATTAATAGTGGTGTCAAGCAAAAGAAACATCCTTTTGACATATTCCTTTTTTGCAGCCACATTTGTTAAACTTTGCTCATTATTCTATATATTGTACTTCTCTTGTTTCAGAGGAGGTACAAGACAGGTTACATCTTTTTTTCCATTCATAGCCCTTATTTCTCAACTGCTGCTATATTCCTGGAAGTTCAAGAAGGTGGTGGTGTGCATGGAAAGAGAGAAGAAATATCTTGTTTGCTCCATTCTACAAGGACCACATTAAGCGTCTATATTTCTGAGATGAGGTATTATGTACATTATTTACATTATTCGGACTATTGGCCTCATCTTTGTCAAACTAGAACAGTCTACCCCAGCAAGTGAAATAAAGGGTTCAGTTCGACATTCCAACCACCTGAAGAAGGCCGAGCAGTACAACAGCTGAAACATTGTAATAAATATGGCGACAAAGATGAGGACAATAGTCTGAATAATGTAAATAATGTCCACATTAAGCATTAGTATATATGTGATATACTAACACCTTAACACAATGGAAAGTACTAGAATAACTGAAAAAAACTGATACCAAAAATGCATTGTACCTGAAAACATTTTTTATACAGTACTAGAATATACAAATATGTCATACACAAATATATCTATATTTATCACATATGAAAAAAAGCAAGTGGTATGTCAATGGGTGAATAATGAGAAGGTCTTACGTGTCATGTTTTGAGGAGGGAGGTGGCCAGCCTAACTGATACTTTCTTTTTATGTTACTTATTTAAGATGCATGGCTTTCACTTGTTCACCAAGCCACTGCTGGCTGCCACACCTTGTCCCTTGAAGAACTAACCAGCAACTATTGTCAACTACAGATTGACACATGAACAGTAGAGCCACTTAAAACATTAGTAAATTCATCCTGTAAAAAGAGAGATCATCACCTTCTGCATCTCTACACTATCTTTGTTTCTATTACCTTGTAATAGTCTGCAGAGTTGTGATAAAAAAACAACAATAAAAAGGAATAAAACTAATAATAAAATAATAATCATAATCATAAAATATTCTTCATTTAAAGAATTAAAAATAATATTTTTCTTTTATAATCACTTGGTCATAAGTTGTTTTTTTTTTCAGTTCTGTATAATAATTATGGGATTGCTGAGAAAGGAAGAAGAAAAATCTTGGGTTTCTCCACTCTCCAAGATCCACATTAGGCATTAATATATCTGTGATATACCAACACCTTAATGAAGGAAGGACTAAAATAATTTAAAGAAATGAATTGTGCCTGAAAATATTTTATGTACAGCACTAGAATATACAAGCATATCAGACAAAAAAAAAACAATACACAAATTTATCTGGATCTGATGGTTGTCACACAGAGAAATTATAGCCCATATGAAAAAAAAGCAAGCAGCTTGTGAAAAGACAAATAAAATGTCTTGCTTGTAATGACACCGTGGCACACAGCCAGCTTGGGTGATATGTTTTATGTTCCTTATGTATGGTATTCACATTTTCATTGGTTACCACATCTGTCTCAGGTTTACAGCCACATCATGTTGAAACACCTATTCCTGTATGATCACTGAAGTTAAGCAACATCAGGCTTTGTCAGTACCTAGATGGATGACCATTTAGGAATACCAGGTGCTGTAAATGTGCAAGGTGTAATGGATAATGGCTTGGAGAGCTGAGTTCCAATTCATGTTTGGTTTGTTACATTTGCTTATGCTCAAAGTATCTTTGGGATTGGTATGAATTCACCTATTCTCCTCTTAGCTATGGGTTAATTAGTAAGACTTGTGTCACTAAAACCATAATTATCTCAAAAAAATATAAAATTGCGTACAAAATATTTAGATTTCAGCATTAGATAACCCACAGGGATTTATAAACCACTAAACTAATACAACCAACCTACCAACATCTGTCTCCCCTGAGGTCCAGGAACTCCTTACCAACTTTGTTGAGAGCTATTCAGCAACTGAACTATTTTCACCAGCAAGCTACTGTCAATCATGGGCTATCACACAACTCTCAAATTCATCCTGTGAAAAGGAATATAACTACCTTCTGCATCCCTATAATAGTAACAATAAAATGTTAGGATAAAGGAAAGCATCTGTCTATATTTCTGAGGTGAGGTATTGTAATAATTTACATTTACATTGTTCGGACTGTTGTCCTTATCTTTATTGTTATGTTCATGACATTTCAGCTGTTGTACATTCCAGCCTGCTTCAAGTGATTGGAATTTTAAACTGAACCCTTTATTTTGTCCACTGGGGTATATTGTTCTAGTTCCATGCACCATACTTCTTGGAGAGTTGAGTTAAAGGGAGATAACTGAGACATTTGGAAGACGCTTGGTATGTGGAACTAGAACAAGCTTGCTACTATATATTTACACTGAACCATGCCAGACAAGTGGATACAAAACTCACTGTAATTCTGTCTACATAACCCTATGACCAAAAATTCCTTCCAGCCAAGTGGCATTTGATCCTGGAAGTTTCCATTTATTTATTTAGTTACTCTGTTTCCTTTTTATTACTTCTTGACAGTGGACAATTCCTTTAAAGATCTTACTTTCAGATTTTAATGCTGGTTTTAAGATATCAGACACTTAGATAAAAACATTTACAGTCAAAGTTCTATTCTAACAGTTTCTTCTCTCTTACTTCTCGCTGGAAGAACTCTCTTCCATCTTCTGGCTTTCCAGTTAAATTTGATCTTCAAATATTTTAATGCAATGTCAATCGTTATCTTCTGTCTTCTTAATTCTTATTCTTTTATTCTTCTCGCTCATTAATGATGTTTTTCTTTTTTTCATATCCTTTCACACTCAGTAACCTCTTGCGTTTTAGTAGCTTTATTGCCTTTATTGAATCAAATGATTAAAGAAAAGATGTCTACTTTACTTTGTAGGTAAAGCCATGGTTAGGTTCCATTGTGTCACATATAAAGAAGTTGGAATAATCTCCCATGTATAACAAAACACCCTACCATTTTTACTATCTATCTATCTATATATATATATATATATATATATATTTGTTACGTGTTGATAATTGTAGCAAAGGAAAAAAAAATGATTTACCACAACAGAGCTAAATCACAAACAAATATTTAATTTACTAAAACACAACATAAAATATATACAAGATAAACAATTGTGGCCTACAAAACAGAAAACACAGAGTTACTGGCGAAGTGTTACGAGGGAGAAGGAAAGGAATCAAATATCTTTATCACTTTAGGGCTAGCGAAAATCTAAGTGCTATATTTGGAAATCCACAAAGGTGTGTAAATAAGTATTAATTTTTAGTTTGGTCAATGAAAAATTAGTCAAAATTCTATTTACCAAATTTGTTCCATGAAATTCTCTTTTGGGTTTTGGTTGGTCGGCAACTTTTTTATAGATTCTTCTTTCGGCTGGATATAATAGTCCTTGAATCAAAAAAAATTTGGAGTTGATAACAGCAGAAATTCCCATTCATCAACTGACAACCCTTTTCCAAAATCCCATTTTTATAGGGGCTAACACCTAATTTGCATATTTCTAGATGTTTCTGGAATCATCTAGATTTTTCTCGAATATACTAGAATGATCTAGAATCTTCCAAAAATTCTATTTCTAATTTCTCTATTTTACAACTACTTCATGAATGAAAACTTTTTTGTAATAACAAGTAGAACTCAGTGGAATCCCTTATTATAGAAATGCATCCTCGTAACATATATATATAAAACAGAAAATGTCTGTTTGTCTGTGGGATACCTTTTCACTCGAGATCATTTCAACTGATTTTGACCAAACTTGGCACATACATTGTACAATGTAAGAGATAAGTTCTTAGTGTAAAAAAATTGATAATTTTTAAAAAATCAATAATTGATAAAACCAATCAAATATCGATAATTTCAAGTTTTTCCTCCGATTTTGTTCAAACTCAATATGTAGGTTACTTACATCATGGTGAGCTCAACGATACCTCATTTTTATTTCTACACCACAACACAAATTTTAAACTAAAAACTCCCTCAATTTTCAAGCAATCTAATATAAACTTCACTCAATTGTAGCCAACAATAAGTTGATTGTTTAACAGTCATTTAACTTGATAATTGAGTACACCCATATAGTGAAAACCTGCATAAATAGCCAAAAATGGTGAATTTTACTGGTTTCTCTCTTATTTCAACCAATTTTCAACAAACTTAACAATTGCTATATAAATGTATCCTCTTTTACATTCCTGGTAGCACACTAACAAATTGAATTTCAAAAACTCCAAAATAACTGTGGGCTGATGTGGGTCTTTATCTTGCTTGTTTTACCCCTTCATGTCCTCGGCTAACTTTGATTGAATAAATACAGACTACTTCTGTTATATCAGTAACTGCATTAATTCAAAAATGCTTTTTAATGAAAGTACTTTAAAGTAATTGAAGAAGATAGACATTGTTACATCTAAACATTATGCTGTTTTTGCTCCATTCTAATTGAATGCTTTTTCTGATCAACCAACTGGGTATGGCTGCTAGTTAACAATATAATAGTAAGAATACAAATGTAACTAAAAAATTCATTTGCCATCTGATTGTACTTGGAAGACAATAGTAATATTATCTATTGTTACTGGTAAAACAAAGTCAGGCTGCATTTACTAAAATGAAATAAAAACACTGGAATGTAAATGTATGGATTTTATTTTTTGTTAAAAGATGCTAAGAGAGATGAAGAGAAAGAATGAGAAACATGTCTGACTGCCTATCTCTGCCAAGATGTACATGAATCCAGATAAGGCTCTAGTCTTGTTTCCTCTTCAAAAATCAAAACTATACAATGTGTAGGTGTAAAAACATGAATCATAATCTACACCTTGAATAACAAAAAGCAATTTCTCAAAGTTCAGCTGGCAGCTATAGGCAGTTGAAATAAAGCTATGTCATGGGAGTGACTGAAAAGCACTTTCATCAACCTATTGTTCTGCAATGGGTCCACTCGTTTAATATGTACCATATTTTGTATAATACAAGAAATTTTGAATGAAAATTAAAGGCAAAAAAGGTGTGTGGGGGTCGTATTATACACAAGTATGTATTTTTCAGAAATTTTTACTTAGTTTAAAAAAACTCTTATTTGAAACTCTTATGTGAAACAGCAAGATTGTAAATACACTCAATTTTACTCATAAGATAAAGTTTGTTTATACAAGATGATTGAAAAGTAATTCCCTATTTTATATATAAAAGAAATCACAGGGTGTTAAGTCAGGACTCCTGGTTGTCATATATGTGTGGTTAGCCAGGGGTCCTGACTTCACACCCTGTGACTTTTTCTTTGGGGTTGGCTAAAGGAGCAAGTCTACTATACGAAACAAAGACTTTGGAAGAACTTGAAGAGTGAATACAAGAAGTTATATGTTCCATGCCACAAGAGTTCCTTGTGAGATCACTTGATGCAATTCCTGGGCAGCTTGAGAAGCTGGTAGCAAAATCTGATGCTCATATCGAATTTTAAATAAAACCTCATATTAAACACTTTCCTCTCATATCTATTTCTTGTAAAAATTATAGTTAATAAATAAATTATAAGTATTTTAAAATGGGGAGTTACTTTTCAATCACCCTGTGTATGTATATATATATATATATATATATATATATATAAACTTAGGTAATCCGTATTGGTAGACCTGAGGAGGATGATATCCAGAGAGCTCAATGTGAAATTCAGAGCAGATATGTTTGAATAAAAAACAGACCATGTTAAGATTCCATGTAATAAGTTATTTCACCATAACCCCTTTAACAGGGTTCTGGATCATCAGACTTTACTTCCAAAAGCTGAAATGAAAAATGAAAAGAAATTTACACGTTTTTTACGGACCTCATCAAGTCTATGTAAAGTTAGCGAAGTGAGGAAGTGAGGTGGGAGAGAGGATATGAGTGTGTCATATGTATCATTTTAGTTTCCTATTTTAACCCCAGTGTGTCGGCTAGATGTTGCTCAAATTTAACGCGTCTCGTCTCTGGATATAGATGGCTAAGGGGTGAATGATAAGAGCGACATTAAAGGAAGAATTTACAACAACCCCAATAAATTACACGACAGGTTTCATTCAAATTCTTAGACGCTGTCAGTTTGCGTTACTTTAACGTGCATATTTGGGAGGTTAAGGTTTGATAAATATCTAAATGTTTAAAACAATCTACGAAGAAATTAATTTGAAATTCGGTGGAGTTTTGGGTATTTTCTATGAAACAATCGATTGGAAAAAAAAGATAGACAGAACATTGAAAGAGCAATCCATTTTATATTTAGTAATTTTTTTTTTTTTTTTTCTTCCTAAAACTTTTATCTTATAGCTTGTTAGGTTGATATCTATTCGTTTGATTTTTGTTCATTAAGTAAACTCGTGATTGTTTTTGATTTTTGTTCATTAAGTAAACTCGTGATTGTTTTTATGTACCCAATTATCAACTGTTATTCCCATTTAAATAATTTTATTCTCCACACTGGGGTAGTGTCTTTCGATCTCAATTAAAATACCAATCTAAAGCTTACCCTTCGTGTTATTTAAAATTCACTTCCAATTGGAGAATATTAGAGGAGATATTTGGAAGAGATGTCACTAGCAGAAGATTA